ATCTGTTCTCTTTTCTAGTTTGTCTTCTCCCCTTTCTATCCCTCGTCTACCTCATATATGTTTCACCCAGTATATCTCGGTGTCTCGGAGATGCTATAGCCGTCGGCTTGGACTCGGTTGAAAGAGCTTGAAGACAGAGATTTCTCCCCTGGTTTCTCTACCGCCGCCCTTCAGTTGATGTTTCCTCGATCATTTCGTGTAGGCGTCAAGGTGTTGATGCGTTGGATCCAGCGAGGAATGGTGTGAAGCGGGTGTTCGTTTTTTGACCGTTCCTCCTTCTGGGTTGGTTAGCTCCACCTTTTCCCTCCTGGCGCTGGTGTTGTTTCATCGTCCATGATTGAGTTTGTTGGGATTTGGATTGTGTGTGTGGCAGCCGGCGACGGTGGGAGGTTCCAGGGGTTGTTGCTTGTGGCTAGGGTTTTGGGAATTTTGTCCAATTTGTGTTTAGGCCTTTTGTCCTATGCTGGTCTTTGTGTGGGCCTGTTGGGTTTTTTTCCTTACCCAGTTGTAAGCTTGTATCTTTCCGTTGGGCTTTGTCCCGTTTGTCTACTTAATGGATCCTTTTCAAAAAAAAAAAAAAACACAACACTGTCAAAATGAGGAAGGGTTTGGTAGTGGAAGGGGTGGGGAAGCGGAGGTTGTGGTACTTGTCGTGGAAATTGGTATGGTATGAGGATCAATACCGAATTACACTTTAAAATCAATTACAATTTAAATTTCTAAATAATTATGGTATTCCAATTCCAATCTCTAAATATTATGGTATCACAATCAGTATTATAGAATACAAAATTAATTGTCTTTGAAATTAATAACTAAATATATAAATTATATTTGGTTGTCTAATTTAGGACAAAGAGACTAGGCAAATAGTCTTGAGTTTGTTTAGAGCTAGTACATGGATAAAGAGAACGGAGGAGAGCTGACATCTCAAGTTCTTGTCATTGATAATCTTAAATTCAACGGATTGGAGGGTGAGAGACGACTAATACTAGTGACTGCTCTTTGGTGTTATGAAAATAACAAGAGATTAGATCAGAGATGAGAGTGACTTAAACTAGAAAGTCAAAATTGGGTTTGGTGGGGGCTTGTGAGTTGTGAAAGAGTGAGTAGTAGTGACCAAATGTTGTCTGCCATATTTCATTACTTTTCAATTTTTGTTGTTTCTCAGTATTTCGGTATATACTTATCTCAATCCCGCAATCCCGAATAACACTGCAAAATGAATCTCAATCCCAATCCCTACAAATCAAATCGATATTCAGTAATACCAAATAATGATATACGGTATTCAGTACATCACAAATAGGTTTTTAGATTTCCTTGGTAACTTGTCTCCAGATAATTTTTCTACAGGTCCTACCCGTATTTATTGGCATCTTTCAGTGCGTCTGGTTTTACAGCAAACTCCCTTTATCAAGAGTTGGTCCGTAAACGTTTCCCAGGGTCGAATTCTTTCCCTCAGAAAGTGGTGTGGCAGGCGGAGGTTCCTTTCAAGATCTATGTGTTTCTCTGGATCGCGAATGGTGTGTGAAGGTCTTTCTCCATAGTTTTTGTTGGCGGATATGGCTTGATAGGAACGCGAGAACGTTTAGAGATACGAAGAATCCCTTGGAGTATGTATGTGTTTGCATTGGCAAAGATGTCGCCGATTGGTTGGTTGTCACTAGAAGAGTGGATAGACTGATGGCGGAGAAATGGTTACAGCAGCTAAAATTATGAGTCTTGCCTCGAATGAATTCCCCTTCAGAAGTCATTGTCGAGCTGCAACCATGGTAAAGGAAACCGTACCGGACATCATACAGGTTTCCTTTCTGGTAGGATATTTTGTGGTACGACCATGGTTCAACTGTTTCATACCGGTAAATACTGTTTTTGTAATAATAAAATATATTTTCTGTCAAAAAATCGTGCCGCCAAAATCAGAGTATCGTCTCGGAATAATACCAGATGTATCGGAATATACCGGACAATATATACAACTAATTAGCAAATTAATAGAAAATTTTAAAAATAATTTTTTTTTTAAACTTCCCCATCACTAATCAATTATCATCCTTGGTTACTCCTCCGCGTGCAGCTTTTCCCCATCTTTTCTCATCTTCCATTCTTCCTCCTCTTTCTCTCTCTCTCTCTCTCTCTCTCTCCGTTCCCTCCCACCTGCCCGGCTGCCCCACTCTCCTTCACTCTTTTATATTACCCCACTACTCGGGCAAAGCAAGAACAGGTAACTTACCCAAAGAAGATATTCCTTTCTCCTCGACCCCCTAATTGGACGAACACCAAATCCGATTTTCCCTCCATTTCCGACCGCCGATCATGTCTGGTTACCCTTACCACCCTCCGTTCGGCTACGGATACGGCCCTCCTCCACCGTCTCAACCCTACGGCTCATCCGGCGGAGAAGGCAGATTTACAGATGAAAACGTCGCTCAATTGCGAAGTGAGGGAGCTGAGGTCTGAAACGGTGACAGAATTGGAGAAGGAAGAAGAGGGCAGTGGTGGCCTAGGGAAGCAGTCATTGTTGCTGGAGAGGCAATACTGAACTGGATGTCCGGAACCACCGTCGCAGCCCGCATGCAAGCGGCGGCAGGGACAGGGTCGGCGCGGCGGAGAGGAGGCTGGTACGGCGACATTTACCACATTTTTATTACCGCCGGTCTGATTTAAACCGGGCGATAGAAAGGAGGCTGGTAGGGTATCGTTTCGCCGCTGGTCGGATTCCCGGTTGAACCGGCCTGTACGATCCGGTTTCCTTTACCATGGCTGCAACAACATCCTGCTTAATCTTAGTCTGCTGATGCTGTTTTTACCTGGAGCTACTTTCTTACCTCGCTGGTTTTGCGTAGCCTCTTCCTTGCTTGCTTGGGTGGGTTTCTCTTCTGCTGTTTTTGGGGTATTTAGGCTACTTTCTTTGGTTCTTTGGTTTTGTGCAGTGGTTGTGACGGGCTTGTGTACCTTGCGCTTTGTCTTTTTTAACCTTTTTTCTTTTTCCTTCATATTTTAATCTATTTCACCATTATAAAAAATACTGATATCAAACTTCCAGCCCTATTTGTAGGTGCTGCTTGGAGGATGGAGGGGTAGGAATGATGGTCGGGATTGCAAATGTAGTAGACGATTAGGTGGGAGGGGGCAGAGTTATTGACGAGGGGTTAAAGAAAGGTTTCCATAATCTAGCCTACTTAATAAAGACCGATCTCATCCATCGAGTTGGGATGCGCCATAACTAAGAAACCTAGAAAGAGAAGGGAGGGGTATTAGAAGAAATCGGTTGTTTTTTTTTTAAATAATTGTGATAATGGGGTAGAAGAAATCAGTTGTTCTTTTTTATTTTATTTTTTAATAATTTTGATAGTGGGGTTGAACATTGAAAATATTAAATTTATTATTTTTTAATGGGTAAATACAATATATTATCCATAACTATTAAGTAGCGGGGAATTATAGCCACAACTATCGAAATACAAATTATTAGCCATAACTACTGTTGTGGGTCAAGATTTGGCTAACAGCCCGTTACTGTTTTCAAATCTTTAACGTAGAAGGCCATGTCAGCATCGTAAAAAATATGATATGATGACTGCCACGTGGGAGCCAGCTCACCATCGTAAAAGGTTAGTCATCATTACTAACAGAAGTGTTAACGAAAACTTAACGATTGGCTAATAATTTGTAGTTCGATAGTTGTGGCTATAATTCCCCGATGCTTAATAGTTATGGCTAATATATTGTATTTGCCCTTTTTTAATCATCGTGCCACTCACTTAGCGGTCAATTATGAAATTGATTGTCACACGAACTAAAGTAAATAGACTTTGACAGTTATTTAGCAAACTTGAACAATTGACCTAATATTAATGACCACGAATAAAATAAAATATTTTTAATAACAAACATGAAATAATTACTAAATCTGAACAAACTCGTAATTTACCCAGCTTTTTCACTCGTTTTTTAGCATATGCAGAAGGTGCCCTTTTATTGCAGGTGGGACTAGGGATGGCAGTAGAACCCGAATCCGCGGGTACCCTACCCAACCCAACCCAACCAGGTCAACGCGGGTAAAATCTGCTTTGACGGATTGCGGTTCGGGTTCAGGTTAAACCCGCTATACTTTTTGCAGGTTGGGTTTGGATTTAGCCATATCCAACCCGTGGATACCCACACCCAAGTCCTTACTCCCCATGACCCACAAAACCCTTAACTAATTAACTATAATTTCCAAACTAATTTCCTACATGTTCAATTATCATATTGTTTGTGGATGTTTATCTTTAATATTGAACAATGAGTATGAATGATTTGTGAGTTAGTGTGTATGCAGTAGAAAATAGCAGTGAAAACTAGTGTAATTGCATCTTTGTACATGAACTCATAGGTACTCATGAACCCGCGGATACCCATCGGGTTGGGTTGGATTTTCGTTTCCAAATCCAATGGGTTTTACCCCAAATTTTTTTGGTGAATAAACTCATGGATTTGAGTTTGGATTTGGCATAACCCGCACTAACCCGACTAATTATCATCGCAAGGTGGGACAGTGGAAGTGGCTAAATTACACGATTGGTAACTCGAATTATACAAATCTTTCACGTTTGCCACCCGAATGACTTTTCTTTCGTATTTATTTACCACTAATTTTACGAATCGTTTCACCGTTAGTCACCAGCCATTACAGTCCGTTAAATTTTTCCTACGTGGCAGACAACTATAAAGGTTGACCGTTAACTAGATGACGTGGAAATTAAAAAAATAAATAAAAACTAATTTATTTGTCCACCTCATCATTCCACTTACTTTGGGTATATAATTTATCATATTACCTATTTAAAAAAAATTAATTAAATTATAAAAATAAATAATATGATTGATTTATTTTCAATTTGAATTACCAAAATAAATAATATGATTAATTTATTAAGTTACAAAAACATAAATAAATAATATGATTAATTTATTCTGAAAAAACAAAGAGCCAAGGCGCCTCTGTCTCCTTTCTTCCCCCAGGCGAGGCCTTCGTCTTCCCCCAGGCGCTCACCCACTTCCAAAGGAACGTCGGCAAGGGACCTGCCTTCGACATCGCCGCGCTCAACAGCAAGAACCCTGGGACCCAGCTGCTGCTCAACGCGGTTCTCGGATCCAACCCCAAAATCCCCGTCGAAGTTGTGGCCAAGGCCCTTCAAGCCGATAACAATGTCGTCACTCAGCTCCAGTCCAAGTTTAAATGATCATATATCACCACACTACGATATCGAGTGCACTAGTTCATGCCGGAGGATAGTTTGATTAATTAATTAATTAATTAATTAGGAGGAAATTAATGGACAAGGTTTTGAGTAGTATGGTTTCAGAAAGAAAATTGAAACAAGATTGGAAGAGGTGTGAATTAAACTGAAAAGTTGGTTGGTTGGAGTTTTTTTTATGATTCCATAAATGATATAATGCACAAGATTACATTATATATTAAGCGGGGTCGTTTCGGAAGGAGCTGTCACATGTGGCCGATGACATGGCGCCAACAAGGTGACAACAAGGCGGCTGCACATGTGGCATGTATGGAAGACTAGTAGCATAGAGATGCTCCTAGGATTCTCCACCTAAATGAGAGCTTAATGGTGCACTTATGGGCTACATTATGGGTAGCATTATTAGGGTGCATTATGGGGGGACTTTATGGGGTGTATTGATGTAGAGGGACCATTATGAGGGGCATTGATGCCTTGTATGAGGAGAGGCCTATATAAGGAGCCATCTCCCTCACTTGTAACTCATCCATCATTTTTGTGAGCAATACAACTATAGAGTTTCTCCCATCTTCTTGTGTCTTGTTCTTGTGAGTTGAGTGAGTTTGAGAGCTTGTGAGAAGGCTGCCTAGCTTCTCTAACGGAATTGAGAGCTAGGGCCGCACGACCAAGAGTAAGGCCGTGACAGTTGGTATCAGAGTCTGGTTCTGAAAGAAGAACCGGTGTCCTCACTCCCCAAGAAGGAAGATAAGAAAGAGCGAGAACCTCACCAAAGATGGCTGGATCAGAAGTCCATGACGATGCGGAGAAGCCACGGGGAAGAGATCCCACTCCGGGCGGAAGGTCAAAAGGTACGTCGAGCACTCGTGATCCTCTCAAGTCTCTAGAGAGGCGAGTCTCGAGGATGGAGGTGAAGCTTTCCGAAGATGTCACCGTCATGGAGGATTTGGGAGCTAACTTCACCCAAATCCAAGGCGATGTTCAAAGTGTGGCGGCTAGAGTGACGAGTTTGGAGGTTGGCAATGAAGGGCTTCGAGATGAGCTCATGGCCCTCATCAAAAACACCATCTCCACCGCCATGAACGATGCCATTGAGCTAGTGAAGGAGGCGGCTGCTGCGGAGGTGACCGTCTTGAAGGAGGAGGTTGCGGAGCTCAAAAGCGAAGTGACGCTTGTGAAGAGGGCCATGGCTAACGGACCTGCCATCGCACAACCTGCCTCAACCATGGAGATTCCAAGACCAAAGAGCTTTCAAGGGTCGAGGAATGCAAGGGAGTTAGAGAACTTCCTATGGAGCTTGGAGCAATACTTTGAAGCTTCGGGTATTCGAGATGAGAATACCAAGGTAAAAACTGCACCTCTTTACTTGAGTGATGTTGTCATGCTGTGGTGGAGAAGGACCCAAGGCGATATCAATAAAGGGACGTGCGTGATGGAGTCATGGGATGACTTCAAGAGGGAGATCAAGAGGCAATTCTACCCAGAGAATGTTGAGTTTGAAGCCCGGTCGAGACTAAGGAGGCTTGCTCACGAAGGAGAGATTCGAGGGTATGTGAAGGAGTTTTCTGAATTGTTGCTCGAGATCCCCGACTACACCGACAAGGAGGCCATGTTCACCTTCCTTGACGGCCTCCAACCATGGGCGAAGTTGGAGCTACAACGGCGAGGCGTGCAAAGTCTTGCCGAGGCAATGGCGATTGCCGAGTCCCTAGTCTAGTACCACGAGCCGGAGGAACGTGGGGAGTTTGGAGGCAATGGAGGTGGACGCGACTATGACAGAGACACACGAAGGCGTGGTAGACTGGACCAAGGAGGTAGTCATAAGGTTGAGAAACCACTTACTTGCTTCCTTTGTGATGGTCCGCATCGTGTGAGAGATTGCCCAAGAAAGCACAAGTTGTCGGCAATGAAGGCCGTACTAGCAGAGTGCTCGAGCTCGGAAGAGGAAGAGGAGGCGACTCCAAGAGTGGAGCCCCATGTCGCGAAGATTGGTTGCATGAAGAGATTGAGCGCCATCAAGCGGACGGAAGAGCCTCCCCATCCTGAGCAACACGGTCAATGCTTCGTAGAGGCAAAGCTCAACCAAAGGAAGACAAAAGCCTTGGTTGATACCGGGGCAAGCTGCAACCTTCTCGACGTAGATGAAGCGCGGAGGCTGGGCATCACGTATGAGAAGAAGCAAAGAGGGTGGATGAAGGCTACCAACTCAAGGGCCACAAGAACTCATGGAGTAGCGCGCCAGGTGCCACTCAAGCTAGGAGGATGGACCGGGGTGGCGGACTTTGAGGTTGTGTCGTTGGATGATTATCAGGTCATCATCGGCATGGAGTTCATGGTGCGGGAGAAAGCTTTCCCGATCCCATACGCCAATAGATTCTGCATCAATGGCGGGGCAAGATCGGTCCCCATGACAAGAGAGCAACTCGAGTCAAACAAGAGGTGTTTGGCAAGGCAAGAGCAGCGAGAAGTGGCAACGATGGTGGAGGCAGCGGCTCACTCGAAGACTCGTTGGCGAAGGACGAGAAGGAGGAGTGCACAACATCGTGGAGCCATGAGAGACGAGAATGGATCATCTTCGACTTGCCAAGAGAAGCAAGGAAAGGCCACCATGATCGAGAAGGCAGGACACTCGAAGACGCGACAGAGAAGACCGCGGAGGAGTGCGCAACATCATGGGAGCACAAGGCTAGAGAGCGAGCCAGGGCCATCCTTGGTTTGGAGGAAGGTGCAACGAGACCTTGCAAGCAATGAAGCTAAGGCAAGGGAGGAATCTGCCAAAGAGCCGCGACGAGGGCGTCGTGGATTGAGTGGAGGAGAATGTCACCAACGAGGCTCAAGAGTCGAGAGAGGCTGCTCGAGGTCGATGGAGGCATTTCGTAGCAAGGACGCGACGAGGGCGTCGCGAGCATAGTTGGGGGAGGATGTCACATGTGGCCGATGACATGGCGCCAACAAGGTGACAACAAGGCGGCTGCACATGTGGCATGTATGGAAGACTAGTAGCATAGAGATGCTCCTAGGATTCTCCACCTAAATGAGAGCTTAATGGTGCACTTATGGGCTACATTATGGGTAGCATTATTAGGGTGCATTATGGGGGGACTTTATGGGGTGTATTGATGTAGAGGGACCATTATGAGGGGCATTGATGCCTTGTATGAGGAGAGGCCTATATAAGGAGCCATCTCCCTCACTTGTAACTCATCCATCATTTTTGTGAGCAATACAACTATAGAGTTTCTCCCATCTTCTTGTGTCTTGTTCTTGTGAGTTGAGTGAGTTTGAGAGCTTGTGAGAAGGCTGCCTAGCTTCTCTAACGGAATTGAGAGCTAGGGCCGCACGACCAAGAGTAAGGCCGTGACAGAGCTCGTCGAGCTGGTTTTCCGCCCAATGCTGGAGTGCATCCGCGAGACCGGCTCGTACATGATGGTGAACGCTTACCCGTTCTTCGCTTACGAAGCGAACTCCGACGTCATCTAGCTGGAACACGTATGCTCTATTCAGGGAGAATCCCGGCGTGGTCGACGCCGGCAGCGGCCTGAGGTACTTCAGCTTCTTCGATGCCCAGATCGACACCGTGTTCGCGGCAATGTCGGTGCTGAAGCTTGACAACGTCGAGATGGTGGTTTCGGAGACGGGATGGCCGTCGAAGCGCGACCGGAGCAAGATCGGCGCTAGCGTGGCGAACGTGGCTGCGTACAACGACAATCTCATCCGTCGGATCTTGACTGGTGGAGAATAAATCAATCATACTATTTATTTTTATAATTTAATTAATTTTATTAAATAGGAATGATGAGGTGGACAAATAATTTTTTTTTACTTTTTTAATTTCCACGTTATCTAGTTAACAGTCAAACTTTATAGTTGACTGCCCCGCAAGACAAATTTAACGGACTGTAACAGTCGGTGACTAACGGTGAAACGATTCATAAAGTTAGTGGTAAATAAGAAAGAAAAGTAATTCGGGTGACAAACATGAAAGATTTGTATAATTCGAGCGACCAAACATATAATTTATCCCGGTGGAAGTTGATATTTATTAGTTTTGAGTTTTGACACGAGAAAACGACTTTAAGCCATTATATGGCCCGCCTGCCTATCTAGTCAACAGTCAATGGTCAATCAAAACTTCTCTCAACTTCGCACATTTTTGTCAGACCAGTTCCACACTTTTAAATTTAACGTGTGTAGTCAAATTATTTAGGAAGCTTCCTGTTAAGGAAAATAGTTCTTAGGATGTTACTAGTATTTCCATCAGCATATTGTGACGCATTTAAGTATTTAGCTTAATTCTCTCAGGGGTCGTTTGGATCCAGGAAAGTGGGCAGGGATTTGGACCAAATTCGGGCCCGTCCAGGAATTTAAACAATTCCTTTGTTTGGATAGGTCTTCAAACAGTCAGGATTTGGGCCACTGGAAATTTTAATTCCGGCCCAGTCCGGAATTAGAATTATCTGATAGCCCCTAGGTATTTTAAAATTTGGCCCTATTTTTTGTTTGTTCCCAACGTGTCCCTACTTTCCAAAACCCAAACGTCTGAACTTTGTTTCCCAAAACCTCAAACCCTCGAAATCGCCATGTCCGCCACCGCAGTCGCCAGGTCAGTCCTCCGTCTCACTACCGTGAGGTCAGCCACTGCACGGCGATTACCCCCAGAACAAGGCTTGCGCTCTTCGCTGTCCCAACCGCGAGAATAACCCCTCCTCCTTCTCTTCGTATTTCCAGGTAATTTGATTGATAGATATTCTCCTCGCCGCCGATCTGGGTTCTTCCTTTCATCCGGCGGATCTGGGCTCGCAAGCTCTTCGACCACCACCACATCCTCCTCCATCGCCACCCCAACTCATGTCTTTTCCCCTGTGAGGAGAAAAAATTCAGATGAATGCAACGAGATCTCCGTCCTCTGCGTTACTGGCCTCACCTAGATCCAGACCTTGAGCGCCTGAAATCGGACCCAATTCCGAACAACAACAGAAATAAAAGAACTCGGGTGAGGCAGTTCGTGGGCGGGACTATGACAGCTTGGATCTGCAGGGCTTCGAGGAGAGAGAAATCGAGGTTGACATCTGGATCTACGACGGTGGATGCGGGATGATGGATTTGCTGGCGACAGAGGCGATGACAGACGCGGAGAGGAGGAGGAATGGTTGATGCAAATTTCAGGAATAAGAGGGAAAAGTGGAGAATTGAGAAGTATCTTCTGCAACCCAGATTGGCAAAATGAGAGCGGTTGTCTCCATTGCCAGAGGAAGAAGAGAAGTGGGTAGGTGCAAAATTGGAAAGGGTAAAATTGTATTTTGTTATTTGTCAATAAAAACAAATTCCTAGGCATATTATTCCTAGGTATGGTTTTATTCTGTGGCTGGTGATTAATGACAAGCTAAAGCTACAGGATAAGCTAATTTCTTGGGGAAAACCACTCACTGGGGAATGTCTGCTGTGTCCTGGGGGAGTGGAGTCTAGGAATCACTTGTTTGTAGATTGCTCTTACATCCAGCACTTATATAGCAAGATTCTTGGGCTGGCAGTACTACCAGTGGGTGGTGGCTGGGATAATCTTCTGAGTTGGTGTGTTTTGCAGTGGAATAGGGACTCCCCAGAGAACTACCTGAACAGAATGTGTTGGAGTGTTATTGTAAGTCTGGTGTGGCCTGAGAGATGTTCGAGGCTGTTTGGTTCGGTTGCAGCAAGGGATCCCCAGCAGCTCCTCCTTGTTGCAAAAAGGGTGATCAGGAGTCGAAGTCTTATGAATCAATGCTTGATTGACTGTTATGTAGCCAGGGGGCTTGGGGTAGTTAGCTGATTTGTGTTTGCCTGGTATTTACCATTGGGCTTGGGGTAGTTAGTTGTTTTTGTTCTTAGTGTTTGCCCTATTTGGGATTGATGTACAGGATTGTGAGTTTTGGGAAGGCTCCATAGCGTTTTGCTATTGGTGTCGGGTCTTAATGCAATTTGATTTAACCATAAAAAAAAACAAATTCCTGATTAATGAAATTCTAATTAGTAAACAAACAGATAAATTGGTCAAATCTCTGGATTTTTGAAAGAGGGAATTAAGCCCAAATCCCTTGTTTAAACATTTCCCAATCCAAACCACCCCTCAATATTTTTGAACCATGACATTTCTTCTTGTCCAACACCTTATCCATTTATGTTTGAAGTTTAACTAGCAAGTCGAAGTTGAACCCTATCGTTGTTGGGAGCAAAACCAAATTATCGAATTTCTGCATCATTGGGAGATCCTATCCAGTCCCCCATCCGTATCTGTATCACTGTATGTTTTGACTTCTCAATTACTACTATTTTGAAGCTTCTTAGCAGGCTAAAATATATCGGGTACCACTTAAGTTTGAAAATTGGGGTAGACATACCACTTAAGTTTGAATAAGGCGTCGGGTACCATTAAAGTCGACAAAATGTGCATCCGACTACTTTTCCATCCAACCCAAACTTTTAATTACTTTTTGGTACCCAAAAATTTTAAAAAAATTCAAAACTATATTTCAACAAGTTTTATCTAATATAAAAATTAGAAAATCTTCTAAACATATTATTATTAATATGGCTAATCAAATTTTTTCATAAAATAGATAAATTAGTACAAATATTAAATGAACATAAGAAAAATAATAAGTAAACTAGAATATAATAATAAATATTTAAAATTAATATTAGAATATCTATTTAAATACCCTAATTCAATTAGAAGTACCATTAGAAATAGTTAAATAGAACCTAATCGATCATCAATACATCAAAACCAAAGAAAGATAAATAGAACACAATCATAAGGAATAAAACATATTCCAGTAATTAAAAAAATATTTAGAACAAAAAGAGACGGAAAGTAACCAAGTAATAAATGAACTATAAAAACTACAAAATTCAGTAAAAAATATAGAAAATAAAATATGATTATAGGAAGAGAATTAGAATTACTAAGTTAACTAATATGAAACATCTACAAATATAATACTAGAGAATTAAAAGGAAATTTAACATGAAAAATCAGACATCACTCTGATGTAAGAGAACTAAATATAACATTCTCAGATTATTTATATCGAGATAAAAATCATAAAATATATTTGCTTGAGAAAATTATTCAATTATAGAACACATAATGATAATTGAAAATAATTATAATCATAATTATTTCTAAATTTCTATTGAAAAATTGATATACTATCAAGTATTCAAAAGAGAATTTCAATTAAACAATAAAAAATTATGTTTTTCATAAGTCCAAATGGTTTTTTTACAATAAGAAAATTAGAAGGACCAATTATGAAATTTATAAAACAGGATATTTCAAGAATATTCTGTCAACTTTAACGCAATGCACATAGCAGTAAACTTAAGTGGTACCAGATGCACATATAATAGAGTTCAATGATACCCGACGTTCTATTCAAACTTAAGCGGTATGTCTACCTCAATTCTCAATTCTCAAACTTAGGTGGTACCGAGGTATTTTACCTCTTCCCAGCTCATCCTATATATATACGAGATATTGCAGGAGTTCCTTATACACAAAGGATGAAGGAGAATTTCTGAATCCTGAATGAGTGAGCTTCTTGTGAGTTCTGAGTTAGTTATCAATGAATGAATGAATGAGACTGAGGCCATCTCCGTCCTAGACAAACAAATACTCTAGACATAGTTTCGATATCTTTCTGAGTTAAAATGCTCCAAAATCAGAACCATATTAAGCACATAATATAATAATTCAATAAAGGAACGAAATAAAAATCGACGCACCGACCCCGCTCATCGGCCTGGTCTACGGCGGTCGGATAGCTTAATAAAATCGTCTAATCCGATCATATGAAGCTGATCTTCTCGTTCATCGAGCAGTTCCGATGCCGCACCAGCGACAGCTTGCGGACCATCGGGTAAGTAATACCCCCAACAACAACGTGCGTCGTCGGCTTCGGCTTCGGAGTAGACTCCTCCGACGAATTGGATGTCGTCCGAAAGGGGTTCAGATGCGGCGAAGGGGAAGGCGATGGAGATGGCGACGGCGAGGCCGGATTCCCCATCTTCAGCATCCGATCCTTCCTAAAGCTATTTGTAAATCCCAAATTGGCAGCCGCCGCCGCAACCAGTTTCTCACTGTCGGAAATCCGAATCTCGTTGAGATTGAGATCCGCCGCACCCTGATTCGACCGCGCATCCGTCTGCGGCTCGAACAAAACAGGCGTGGAGACCGATTTGTGCAGCGGATGCTATCAGATGAAAATCCCCAAATTTTCAATTCAAATGCAACGGTTAGTACACAGGCCACTTGGAGGGACATCGTTTCTGGGAAAGCTACAAGTAAACCGAGTGGAACGGCGCCATCTCGAGACAAAGGGAAGAACATCATCGATACATCGCCGTTATGAACCAACGTCACTTTCCTTCTTCTGTCTTTTGTTCCCTCTGCACTCTGTTTCTAAGTTTTGCTTTTCTGTAAAGACACAGCTCACTGAAGCTTGTCTTCTTTTGCCCGATCCTTGTATAAAACCCACAATGATTATCAATGAAAACTAAGTTATGGTTTCTACAACTACACTTCGTGTTATGGTATCAGAGCAACCCTAGTCGCCGCCTCCAACATGGCTGCTCAGGAAGCTCACCCAAACATCGATCCCATGGCGGATCCTTACTACCTCCATGGTTCTGATCAACCAAGGTTGCTGCTGGTAAGTGAGAAGCTGACCACCACCAACTACAACGACTGGAGCAAGGCTATGCTCAACGCATTGGCCGCCAAGAACAAGCTTGGCTTCATCAATGACACGATTCCTGCCCCTGAAGAAACAGATGCACAGTTCTCCTATTGGACACGCAACAACATCATGGTTCTCAGCTGGATCCAACAAGTTGTCGAACCTGGAATCAAGAAAACCATTATGTCCAACAAACTCGCTTCTGAATCCTGGCACAGTCTGAGATCTCGCTATGGCCAAGGAGATATGATTCGCATTGCAGAGCTCATAGAGTCCATTGGTACCATTAAACAAGGTAACCAAACTGTGACTGAATACTATGGCAATCTCATAGCATTACAAGATGAATTAGACAACTACCAGCCTATAGATCCCTGTCGCTGCACAGCTACGAGTCACACCACCTGTGTCTCTATGAATACTGTCCTTGGTTACAAATCTATCAACAATGTTGTCCATTTTCTTCGTGGCCTAAATGACAACTTCGCCACTGTGAGGTCCTAAGTTCTGTTTGGCGACACATTGCCTCACATAGACAGAGTTTTCCAACGAGCATTACAGCATGAGAGACAGTTGTTTGGTACCCAACAGGGCAAAACCCTTACCACTGAACCAACAGCCTTTGATGTTCAAGGATCTAGAAGACCATATATTCCTGGAAAGCGTCCCCACTGCACTTTTTGCAATGCTCCAGGCCACACTGAAGATACATGCTATCACAAGCATGGATGGCCACCAGGTCTGACTTCCAGAGGCACTACACCAACTTCCAAGTTCCAACCCATCTTCCAAACCCCCAGAATGCACATTCTGCAAAAGGATTGGGCACACTGAAGAGAAATACTTCAAGAAGCATGGTTACCCACCTCCTTGCCAACCAAGATCTCAAGCTCCTCCTCGTGGCAGGCAGTCCATCAATGCTGCTGATAGAAGCTCCTCTTCTGATCCACAACCTGAGTTCAAACTCACCAAATCAGACTATGAGAAGCTCATGTCTCTCATGGCAGACCACAACAAGGGCAAGTCTTCTCACTCTGCAGCTCTCACTACTCACTATACTACTGGCTCTTCAGGTAATCCTATATGCAATATCATTCAGAATCATCATACCACCATTCCTTGGATCCTAGACACTGGTGCCACAGACCACATTGTGAATTCTCTTCACTTTCTCACTAATCCTGAACATGTACATCACATTTTCATTAACTTGCCTACTGGTGATAGAGTTCAAGGAACTCACAGGGGCCAAGTTCTATGCCTTGATGATTTAACCCTTGAGGATGTTCAATTTGTCCCAAAATTCACCTTCAATCTCCTCTCAGTGAGCAAGCTCACCACCACCAGCCCCCTAAGCTTAACTTTTTCTTCTGATTCTTGCTCAATACAGGACATGAAGCTGCAGAGAGTGACTGGTTCTGCTAAGCTCCTCCATGGCCTTTACCACATCAACCTTCCCTTAGCTAGTACACCTAAACACATCACAACTGTTGTTAGCTCACCATCTTTTGATATATGGCATTTCAGACTTGGCCATGTTCCCATAGTCGAATACCATACCTAGAACAGATTCACCAACATATAGAAACCAACAGTAGCTTACCTTGTGATGTTTGTCATTTTGCCAAACAAAAACAGCTTCCTTTTCCTTCAAGCACAACTGTAACTACACATTGTTTTCAGTTGATACATGTTGATATCGGGGGTCCCAATTCTTGTCCAACTTATGATGGTTTCAAATATTTCCACACAATTGTTGATGACCATTCCAGGATGACATGGCTCATCCTTGTTCAGTCCAAAGCTTATGCTAGACCTAAGTTACAACACTTCTGTACCATGATTGCAACCCAATTTTCTACATCAGTTCAAACCATTAGAAGTGACCAAGGCAAAGAATTCCAAATGACTGAGTTTTTTGACAAAACAGGCATCTTACATGAGATGTCCTGCATTGAAACACCTCAACAGAATAGTAAAGTTGAACGCAAACATCAACATATCTTAGCCATTGCTAGGGCCCTGAAATATCAAGCACATCTACCTATTGCTTTCTGGGGAGATTGTGTAAAGCATGATGTCTTTCTCATTAACAGAGTCCCTACACCAGTCCTAGACAACATCACTCCCTACCAAAGACTCCATAACAAACCTCCTTATCTCCAAGACCTAAAGGTCTTTTGATGCCTTTGCTTTGCTTCAACCATTACTAGTCACAGAACCAAATTTCAGGAAAGGGCCAGAAAAGGTGTGTTCTTGGGTTACACACCAGGTATCAAGGGATACAGAATATATGATCTTCACACACATGACATCTTCACATCCGGGGATATTCATTTTTATGAGACTGAATTCCCATTCCAACCAGTCATCCCCACTCCTTTACCCTCAGAACCCAACCTACCTCCTCACCTCTATCCCCTACCTTCCTCTCCTGACCATGAAGATCCACCTCACAATCCACCATTACCAGTACCCTCCCCATCCTCCCCACCTGTACAAGTAGCCTCTCCTCAACCTCCAACTCAACCCTCTAATCCCACTCCACTATCATCCCTGGACATTCCAATTGCCATTAGGAAGCCATCCAGAACAATCAAACCCCCTTCCAAACTCCAAAATTACCATTGCAATCTACTTCAGCAGGTTTCTTCCACTAGTCATTCTCTCCAGCAACATGTTTCAGGTATCACCTACCCCCTCTCTGATGTACTTGATTATTCTGGCTTATCTCCTTCTTATTTGAAGTTTATTCTAAACATCTCCTGTCACAAAGAACCTGAATCCTATGAAGAGGCTGCCACCAGACCAGAATGGAATAGAGCCATCAATCATGAAATTGATGCTCTTGAGCAAAACCAAACATGGGATGTTGTTTCTCTACCACCTAACAGGAAACCCCTTGGCAACAAGTGGATATTCAAATACAAATTCTTCTCTGATGGCACTTTAGAAAGGGAGAAAGCAAGACTTGTGGCAAAGGGATACAACCAACAGGAAGGGATAGACTATCAAGATACATTTGCTCCTGTGGTCAAAGTGACCATAGTCAGACTATTTCTAGCTATTGCAGCTTCAAGGTTTTGGCATGTTCACCAACTAGATGTGAACAATGTCTTTCTTCATGGAGACCTCACTGAAGAGGTATACATGAAGTTTCCAAAAGGTTACAATCCTCCACCCCACATCAAAAATCCAGCCTGCAGACTCAAGAAGTCCTTATATGGTTTAAAGCAAGCATCAAGACAATGGTTCTCCAAACTAGCAGATTGTCTCATCTGTCATGGTTATAGTTCAAGTCAAGTGGATCATTCTCTATTCTACAAGTCCACAGGTTCTCATTATACATGCATTCTGGTCTATGTTGATGATTTGGTGATTGGTGGAACTGATCTAATAGAGATCACACAACTAAAGCAATCCCTACACAACACATTCAGTATCAAGGACATGGGTCCCCTCAAATTCTTCCTTGGCATTGAAGTTGCAAGAAATTCCACTGGCATTCATCTATCACAGAGAAAGTACACTTTGGAAATACTTGAAGAAGGAGAAGTTCTACTGTCTAGGCCTGTTTCTACTCTCATGGATCATAAACTACATCTCACAGCTCACCATTCTGATCCCTATCCAGACCCATCTTTCTACAGAAGAATTGTTGGCAAGCTAATCTATCTAACAACAACAAGACCAGATATCAGCTTTGCCACTCAACAGGTCAGCCAAAAAATGGCAAATCCAAGTATTCAACACTACCAGGCTGTCACCAGAATCCTCAGATATCTCAAATCAGCCCCATCCACAGGTCTGTTCTTTCCATCTTCATCCAATCTCCAACTCCAATCGTTCTGTGACTCCGATTGGGCATCTTGTATGGACACTAGGAGATCAGTCACGGGTTATTGCATATACCTGGGCTCTGCCTTGGTTTCATGGCGCAGCAAAAAGCAGAAAACCATCTCTCGATCCTCTTGTGAGGCTGAGTACCAAGCCATGGCAGATGCCACCTGCGAGATTCAATGGCTTCTTTATCTTCTCAAGGATTTCCAAGTTCAGCATTCCAAGCCTGCAACCCTGTTCTGCGACAACCAATCAGCCATCCACATTGCTGAAAATCCAACCTTCCATGAGAGAACAAAACATATAGAACTGGATTGTCACCTCGTGCGCGAGAAATTGCAAGCTGGAACGATTAAACTGCTCCATGTGTCCTCGCTTCATCAACTTGCAGATCTATTCACCAAAGCTCTAACACCATCAACCTTCTCCAGCCTCATCTCCAAGCTCGGTGTGCACAATCTGTGCCCACCAGCTTGTCAGGGGGGGGTATCAGATGAAAATCCCCAAATTTCAATTCAAATGCAACGGTTAGTACACATGCCACTTGGAGCGACATTATTTATGGGAAAGCTACAAGTAAACCGAGTGGAACGGCGCCGTCTCGAGACAAAGGGAAGAACATCATTGATACGTCGCCGTTGTGAACCAACGTCACTTTCCTTCTTCTGTCTTTT